GATCAGGTTCAGATTCCTACAATTTAAATTGTTCTTATTTTTCAGTTCAGTTTTAGAGACAACTATCTATATCCATTAGACGTATCCTGATAAAAGGCAAACAAAAAAAACCAACACCACCTGAACACAACTGTTTCCAAATTGTCCGGATCGGTTCTGATGTCTCTAAGCCGGTAGCGTAGAGACAATTGTCTATTAAACGCGTTTAATTTGCAAAAATCGATTAGTCGCATCTATTTTGATTTTTTCTTTGCATTATTCAATTACTATACGCGGTAAAGCGACTTCTAGACAACCATACTTTAGCAGGCACGATGATTGGTTCGATATTGGCTTCTTTTTGTTTAATTATAGTTGACACAAGTAAATGTAACAAATTCATAATGTTTATATTATCATTACTCAAAAACTTTTTCTTCGTAAAAATTTGTTTAAATGTAGCACTTGTATTTACAGTCATAATTTTAGCCATATTATATAGACACATATGTATATATATTTATAATATGTAAATGGCAATGTAAATACTTTGCTTTATCTTCAATTTATTACACAAAACAAAGACTTGAATAAACTGTAGACCATTAAACGTCACAGCAACAGCGTGTGCACTATTTCAAACATTTATTTCACAAAATGCACCACATTTATTTATTTTCCTAGTTCATATACATATGTATTTATAAATGGAATATTTTGCACTACTTCATTCTTTATCATATACTCATTATACATATGTATGGCCGCTCGTTTTTTTTTTTTTATCTATGCTTGCGTCGTCTATGGTTATAGTCGGCTGCGAGAGCGCTCGCGCGCTAGCTCACATTGTATTTGTGAGACTGTATAAAACGACTCTAGTAGCAATAGTCATCTCGCTTACACTTGAGATTGCAGTCAACATACATAGTGGTCGTCCCGAAGTGTTGTGTACGCAGCGCCGCAAACAGCACTACACAACACGTACATACATACATACAAGGGACTTTTTGTAAGCCAAACACATTTGCGCATGTATATTTCGAACTTAAATCACATATCATTGTAGACAGCACATAGCTTAGCATTTACATACGTATAAGACGTACAGCTAATATGCCTATACTGTATTAAATTTTGCATTAAAAACAATTATTTAGATCCCGAAACGTTTTTAACCACGAAGAAACAGCACCAAGAGTCAGAGAAGAGCAGCTTGTCCGATTATTGTAAAATGTTTACGTTTGCAAAAATATCGAACGACTTCGCCCGTGTCACCGATTAGATCCCGTGTCCACTACAAAATTATAAAATTCTGACGATATAAAACCGTTCTACTAATGAGTTTCGATTTCCAAAATTAATTGAACATGGCAGATAAGCCCACATATTTCTTCAAGTTTATATATAAATATTTTAACATTTATTTTAGTATATATAAATTAATTTATTATCAAAAACATGTAAAACAAGATTTGCTCTGGAATAATATTCGAATGGTAACTATAGAAAATCATCCCTGTCATTCATTCATTCACGCTGGCGAAAATACAACAAGTCCATCTTTCTCGAGCCGCTAGCAAACTATCATGGACTGGCTTTTCATTATTGGTAGGAGAGGTTTTTTCTCGATCTGAGTACTGCTACTGCCGCTGGAAGACCGCTATCGGGTCTGAGTACAAGTTCTAACTGTTATAGCTAGTTTACACCAGGGCTATGCTATTGAGTTATAGCGTAACGGTATACGATTTTTTTGACCACATCTAATGGCATAACTAATGAACATACCAGCATCTTGCTCAGCTACCAATATAGGTAACAAATTAAATTCAACAATTTTTTTTAAGCAACCCAGCCAAAACTCAAGTTTACAATAACACATCCTTTTGCAAGTGTAAACGCTAATTTTATGTTATTAACTTAATTCAACTATCGATACATAGCTCACGTCTGTGTAAAAAGGTTATAATTGAGTTAACTCAACAATCGAGTGTTAACTCTGTGTAGATATGCTATTAGTGGTTGGTGGTAAAAGTCTTTAAACATAACAAAAATTGCGAATTATCGTTGACAGGTAAAATATCGATAGCTATCGAGCTACCATACCAGATCCAAAAACGGTTTTGCTAACAATATATCAAAAACATTTTTCTATTGCCTGAGTGTGACCAGAGAACAGAGATGTGAACTGCATGCCGAACGGTTACACTGCTCAGGCAGCCGTTTTCTTATGTTAACTTTGCGAAAATTCCTCACGCGCGTATTCTGTCATCCTCGTTTTACCATTTCAAGTAAGAATTTTGTAATGAATCTTAATAAAGACCTACAAGTTTTGTTTGAAAACACGTGCTGTGATACCATGACGCTGCATTGAGTTTTGCCCTGCTGCTGGCAAAGATGTTATCTCCTGCCACTTTGGAAAGAAGAAGTTAACATGTATTCTTAGACGTTTTAGGCCGGAGCTTCACTAACACCTATCAGCGCTCCGCATCGCAGCAGCAGCCAAAAGCTCGAATCAAGTGAAAGAGCGCAAGCTTTAGCGTCAGAGAGGTAAACAAAACAAACAATTATGCCAGATGGCATTTACTTTACGCATAATCAGAACTTACATATATGCTGGTCTGGTGGCATTCCAAAGTTTGTTGTTATAGGATGAGAGGCTGATATTGTAATTGGACCAATTCTTCTCAACGTTTAGAGCTGTATCTCTGTTGAAGAATCCGTGAGGCTGTCCAGTGCTCCCTACGTTTCGGGGTCCCCCAGTCAGGCCAGGCTTCTTTAAGTCTCTGTTGCAAACGATGGTCAAATTTTGGACCAGGTTGGGTCGTGCTTTCCCTTGAGATTTCGACCTAGTTGCTTTTAGTATAGATTCCAGTTTGTCCGCCTGAGATTCCGGAAATGGACTGATCTAGATATGGAGAAGGAGAAACCAGGAATGCTCTTCGCGGAACCTCCAGGACACGTATATCTATAGTCTTGAGTCCTCAGACCGGAGACCCTGTGTTCCCTCTCTCCCCTTGGTAAGGTGGATCAGTAGGATATCGCATGCAGCCTGACAATGGTAGAGGTTTATCTGCAGGAGTGTCAGCGAAAATCCTGAGAGTCGCCTCCACCATTGTTACTTCGGCATCGCTCTCGGGGAACTCTGTCTTCACCCCTACGTCGGTGTGTCCCAAGATCATGGCTAGGTCGCTCGCGTCGAACTCGTGGTTGTCGAGGATGTCTTCCGACACCATCGACACCACGTCCCGGATAAGTTGGGAACTTCGGCAGCCCGGGGTTCCGTCTGCTTACCACTGAAGTCGGACTCGTAGGGGACTAGGGGGCTTCTATGGTTTCGTCACCATAGTCCGCCTTTCCCTTCGATTCCTTCAGGAGTGCGAGTGACTCCACATTGAGAACTAGGTTGACCTCATTGTGCCTCTGGTCCTTGACCTCCTCGACTTTAGCCATCTTCCGATCGGCTGTGGAAGGAAGGGGTTGCAGACCTCCAGCTGCTCGGGGCTGGTGGATACCCATGCCCTTGCCTTGGGTCTGCTGGGCAAATCCTCACGGCCTTCAGTTTGACGCCAGGGTAGACCTCTTTCATAGGCGAACCGCCTTCATGTAGAGCGGTCATCCTGGCATTCACCGTACCTCGATGCCACCCGGCGTCCGTGTATTTTGGCGGTGTGCCACCGTTCTCCTCAAGCTCCAGCACGAATCTATTCTCGCGCGCGGCGGCAATCAGGTGTCATTTGTCCCGAGGGACATTGCCATGCTCGTCGCCCCTGTCCAGGACGCCAATGGGGGGTCTTACCCCTCGCCACCCCGCGAACGATCTATTCGCTGGGAGGGTTTTTTCCCGTTTGGTTTTCTGGGCATGGCACTGTTGAGCGCCAGGATCCTCCGCCCATCGTTGTTGCTGGCCCATCGCTTCTGCTCCGCTAGGCCGGTCATGTCTTGGTACGACGTGCTTCGGCGCTGTCTGCCTTGGTTGGCAGAGGTACCCCGGTCTCAAGGCGCTTACAAGCCATGAAGACTTGGTTCTGCTTGGCAGCCACCTCGGTGACAGGTTTGACCCTGGGCTTGCCTGACATGGACTGGCCCGATTGCTTTACCTTTCGTTACTCCACACCCACACCGATAGTTTACGGTTAGATTGCCAGTGCGTTGCCAGAGGAGCTAGAGTCATTTGGCTCATTTCAGGATTGTCGAAAGTAATCGATTTTATGCTGTATCCGAAAACATTGCATCTCCAGAGTTTGAACATAATTTTGTTAGAAACAAATCTATTGGTTTTATCAGTTTTTAAGCAGCGATTCTTAAGTGTGAGGAGATTTTCATTCACGTCTTCTGCTGCAGGGAAAATTATGAATTACCTTCAGAAAGGAATTTAAAGATGATAATGAGGTTAGGACTCGCCCACTACCTATTTCGATACGCACAAAGAAAGAAAAATAATTAATTAATTGTTCAGTTCGTTATTTGTTCATGGCTTTTTTATTTGAATAAGTTTAATTTAACTCGTAGGTCGTAGTTCGATCGCTTCTCCACCGTTATTGGCAATTATGAGTTCTGATTGGTTGATCTGCTTAAAAGTCTAGATATTCAAATATTGGTGGTGAATGGTTGCATAGAAATCGTATGCATTGTTAATTCAATCAAGTGCCGTGTTTCCATATGAATGTTCATCCGCTTGAAACTGGACAGTAACTGAAAGGGATCTGAAGCAGCGCTTACACTTGCAAAGTGGATAGGCCCGTCATGCGCATGGCAAGTAAAGCTAATTTAGCCTCAATTGATGCTGGATAAGATATTTATACGTTGTTTGGTTTAGACTGAAAGTTCAGCCACAACGCGCTGCAAGCTGGCATAGGCATCATTGTTAGATAGAAAACTTAACAAAAAATTCATGCTTGTGCCGTCAGCATTTAATTGCCTTTGAGATACTCGAGCGGAAGGGTGAAATATTCAAAACAAAACAATATAAATACATCAAGCTTACATTTATAAGCTTAAGATCTAGTTTTGAAATGCAAGTTTTAAAAAAGCCCCTATGGATTTTTACAGGGTGAGTATTTAACAAATTTTTAACGACTGAATATAGGATGTATATTTATTTTGTTAAATACAACGAAAAGGTAGTGCTGATATCCAATAACATTATACCTACTGCGAGACTTAAAAATCAGTTCAGCTTTGGTGACAAATTTGCAATAAGAACTTTTTATTTTTCAATCCCCCAGTCATGCAATTTATGTTCCTCTGTGGGTGTGCGTAATGTTTTAGCAAATTGAGCAATTTGTGACATCTACTTTTTTATGTATGCATGAACATGCGGCAAAAAAAAGCACACACACACTCATAGGAATATAATTATGCACACATAAGATGCAAGGATTGGTAATGCATTCCACATACATATGTGTGTGGATAACATAAACGCTTGTAAGACATAATCCACTTAATTTGTAGGTCAGTGCAACTGACGCTCGGCTTCGATAGAGAGTCACAAACTTACATAGTTTAAAAAGCTTAATTAAGAAAACTAATCTATTTTTATTAGTATTTTTTGCATTGAATTCAAAACAGGAAGAATGGTTTTATTTTATCATTTATTGTTGTTATTTGTGTTGAATTGAAAACAGGCAGTAAGGGATCCAAAACTTATCTATTCCGTAGCCTCAAATAATTATGTACATACGAACACTTTGAAGAACTTGTGCCACCAGGATATAAACACATGCACATGCAAATTCATAGATTGTTTCGTAGAGCTATTGAGGTTATAGGAGGAGTAGGGATGAATGCACATCATGAGCTTATATAAATTACTGAAAGAAGGCATGCAAGCACACGGGAAAAGCAGAATTGAAAAAAAGGCGTCCCATTCAAAATTGACATACATAGCAGTCCACAGAAACACGCCTTTTTAGGTCGGTTTCCTTTGCCTAGCTGCTCGAGGGGGGTACTGAAAAAATGCTGCAAGTTCATTTTTTCAGCTCTGTCAAGTAGTAGTTGACCCAGGCGTCAATGTTTATGGTGTTGCTACTTTCTGAGCATTGCACGATACGTCCATTGGCCATGCCTTTCCCAGTTGTAGGTGGACTGCTCCTCCGATCCATCGACTGATCGGAAGGCCTCCAACCGGGCTGATCTATGAAGAAGATAGTGAAGATGATCTATAGGTCTCGTCACACTCTTCAGTAGTCGTCGTCGCCATTGCTTGGGCCATCGGGTATTCAGCATTCGCCTTGAGAGGGCACTGGTAATTTGGTAATTGGTAAATGTCACTGCACCCAAATGCTCTACGAAAAGACATTGGAGCTGTATAATCTGCGTACTAATAAAATGTTATTGTTATGATTGCAGATTCTCAATTTACATAAGTATACTGGAATGGCATTGCAGCCATAGTATACCGACTCAAAACGAATCACAAGTGCTTTCAACAGTCCCATTAATAAAATCTGGGGTACTAGGAGAAACACCCAGAATAACGGACCAGTTAAAAGCCAGCAGAATATACGAGTCTTTTCTTGTAAAGGAGACACCACCAGCAACGGGTATGTTTGGAAATCAGCGAAGTCAACCTCATGAAAAAGCCACCAACGAATCACAATCCAATAATCAAAATAGAGTGGCGCGCGTGGTGTCTACAGACATGCTGAGCCGTAATATTTCTATAATTTTGGAAAATCTTCTTAAACGCTACGAACAGTCACAACTTCCCACACATGGACAGGGGATACCTACGGTAGTGCAAACCAATATACTTATCCGTAGCATGGGACCGGTGTCCGAGCTGGACATGGAATATTCGATGGATTGCTATTTTAGGCAGTATTGGCGAGATAGGCGGCTAAGTTTTAAGGGGCCAATTAAAAGTCTGTCCTTGAGCATTAAGATGCTGGATAAAATCTGGCGGCCAGACACTTACTTTTATAATGGAAAGCATTCTCATATACACACAATTACTGTGCCGAACAAATTACTTAGACTTGATCAAGATGGAGGAATTCTGTATTCAATGAGGTAAGTTAAGGTCTATAATATTAATACATAGTACACGTTCCGGAATGCTTGATTCAGATTAACCATAAAAGCCACATGTCCCATGGAGCTGAAAAACTTCCCAATGGATAGACAATCGTGTCCCCTTATAATTGGAAGCTGTACGTATATTTGTTCAGTTTTCTATATCGTGTTTAATGCCTTATCCAGACTTTAAATATTTCAGATGGTTACACGAACCAACAGCTGGTATACGAGTGGAAAAATCAAGATGATGCCGTTTCATTTGTACCCGGAATGACTCTTAACCAATTTGATCTCATTGGCATGATGCATCGCAATTTCACATCAACACGGCGAGAGGGTGACTTTTCAGTATTACATGTTGCATTCAACCTTAAACGTCATACCGGATACTTTCTTATCCAAGTTAGTTTTTTGACCCGAACTGATCCTCCTGATGCAATATACACATAACAAGAACAACATTTTAGGTTTATGTGCCATGCATTTTGATCGTGGTGTTGTCGTGGGTATCGTTTTGGATACATCGTGAGGCCACCAGCGACCGTGTCGGCCTCTGTGTGACAGCAGTTCTAACACTATCCACCATTAGCTTGGACTCTCGGACTGACTTGCCAAAAGTCAAGTATGCCACTGCACTGGACTGGTTCCTTCTGATGAGTTTTCTCTATTGCATAGCCACATTGCTAGAATTTGCTGGTGTTCATTATTTTACAAAGCTTGGCAGTGGAGAAATACCACGTCTGGAAGAGCATTTGGAAAATATCAGGAAAAATAATATGCCACCAGCACATGTCATTGAAGCCAACGAAGAAATAAGTGATGACGATTTAGAAGATGGTGACAGCGATGATGTCAGTGAGCAAATGAATTCAGAGAATGATATTTGCATTTGTTCTGAACATGACAATATTCGATTCGAATCTGCAGAATCGTTACCAATAGCACTAGATGACACAGATTTTCGTAAGCGCAACGACCTCACTTGTCCTATCTTCAACGTAAGTAAATGTTAGATCCGAATATTTTAATACCGTTATTTTGCTGCAATCTTTACATGAATAGCATCCAACGTACATCTTTCCAAAGACTTCTTCGCGTGCAACCACCATGGAGCGAACCACGCAAACAGAACCACCCGTCGCTTCGCGTATGCGCCAGATATGGCTCTGCCTCAAGAGCGACCAAAAGTTCCGAAAACAGCGTGAACGCGACGCAGCTGCAGAAAAGACTGAACAAGGTCGCAACGTGAGCTATGTAAATAGCGTTTCGCTAATTGACCGCATCGCCCGCATTGCGTTCCCAATGTCATTTGCGCTTTTTAATCTTTTATACTGGTTGGCCTACGGAATGTATAAAAAAGAGTTTTCTTGGTCAACTATAAAGACATAGCTTCCATCGATTTCATTGTAGTTGTTTTGTACCATTCTTTCGAATTGGGTTTAATAATGTATGTTAATGTTAACGTTTTTATAATACTACGAATATAGGGACACTGCAAATACAGTGTGGATTTTGAAAGCTGTAACATTAAACAAACTCAAATGCATTTTGTATGGTTTTGTCACATTTTTTGACAAGGGGGACAAAAATAAACAAATTCGAAGACTTTCCGATCGTTCTTTATTTTTCTGAAACGTTTTTAAACTTCGTTATGCATATTAATGAAGATTTCCTAAAACTATTTTAAAATGTATGTATGGTTTTTAAAGTCTTTTTTCAGAGTGAGCGATTATTATTTTCACATAACTTAAGTATCTGACATCTTGTTGAAATTAACTTTTCCATCCGGTGGCTTGAATGAATTTAGACAGGATCCCCAGTTGGGTTTCGGAAAGGTCCGAAATGTCAGTTAAGAAAGGAGTCCCAAGAACCGGAGCCATCGGTTTCCCAGGGATGGGCAGTGGCCGTCCGGGTGCCCGTTATTTAGCTTGCGGTCGGCCGCGCTCTTTCTCTTGGCCTCGGCTGTAGGAGCATTTCGCCGTTATCGTTCTCTATCCTGCATCTGCTGTTGCATGTGGAAACTGCTACTAAAAGTAGTTGTAACCTGTAGAACTGCGCTCTCTCTCTCTGGATTTGGGTGTGTGTGTTAGTGGGTGAGCAAAGATCGCATCTCGATGCTTTCTCTTTTTTCCATGGGCCAGCATCTGCTGCTGCTGTGTTGTCCGCATCTAATTTTCCTGACTGCATTTGTGTTGCGAGGAAATCAATTTTTTTTGTATCATCTTTCTCTTGACTCTTGACCTTCAGGGGATTTATGAATATTCAAAAAAATATTTCCATTTCTGAAGAGGAACGTTGTGAAACGCGTTGAACGCGCCACTACTTGTATACCCGGTCTCAGTATTTTAGTATATACATACATATGTATGTAACATTAAGATTTTTTCGAATTTTACATTTTTTCTACATTTAGTATCTACATAATTTCTCACACCAACACGCCCTTTTTAGCTTGCGCCCCTCCCCAAGAGACACACTGCACGAGCCAAAGAGTGCCAAAGAGAGAGAGAGACAGAAGAGCAGCTTGAATCAAGTTTCTAAAGGGGTGGCTCTCTAGCGGCTCACCTTATCTTCAAGCCACATAATGGCAGATCACGCCATTACCAAGCGGTAACAACACAACCCGACACGATTTTCCCTCAAGGAGCCAAACCAACTTTTCTGAAGGATATGGAGCTTAGAAATAGTCTAATAATATTCTTTTTTCTATGCCAGTAATGTAATGGATGTCTGGATCTGGATGTAATGATTTTTGTCATTCTGCCCAGAGTGCCAGAGTATTTTTGTACTCAAAAAATATTAAAAAAGACTTCAATTTAGAAATATCCTAGAATATGTGGTTATTTAACGGAAAATTAAGGGGTTGGACTCCATAGATTTTCATGAGCCAAATTAATGCACCTGTATAGAAAAAAACAAAGGACATAGGATATAATTTTTTTCGACCTTTTCTGAGTTTTTTAAGTAAAAATGTAAAAAATATCGCACAAAAATTCTCATTTTTGTATTTCAAAGATGAATATTTCCCAGACGGTAAGCTAAAGACACAACGTTTTAGGGTTCGCTTTATAGATGCATTTGTCAGCTCCTTAGAATGACAAAGTCAGGAAAACCAGATCTAATCTACTTAAGTTTTGTGAAAAAAAGAAGAGCTACCTCTACCCATACATCTGTCCGAATTCAAAACTACAGCAATCGTAGTATTCTAAAGGAATTCGGTGTCTGTTCCTATTCCGATAACAATACAATTACTTCCATTCATTATAATAAGATTAATTAATTAAATAAATTAAAATTATTTAATCACATTAATTAAATAAGATTAATTCGCGAAAGTATTATGTCCCCAGTCGCCGATTTCGGTAAATAAATTTCAGGCAGATCAGAAATTTTGACAAAATCGTTTGCTATGTACATACATACATACTTATGCCTGTAGCATACGGGCTTCAAGAATATTCATTTATTGACATTACGCACACTTAATACCTTTATGATCATTACTCGCTTGTGACGTTCATTTATAAAATATATTTCGTAAATTGTAAACAAATTTCGAGAGCCCGCTAACTTTAGAGCAGGGCTCATCACGCATACATTCACGGACCAATTCTGCGTTTGTTTGCGAACACAGCACTCAAAACGGAACATTGCAATGCATTGGCATCAGTACGAATCACTGTAATACACATGTACGTGAGCAGCAGCGTCTCGGCACAGCTTTTTCCCATGCAAAATTGATAGGGCAAGTGCACTGCCGTTCATTAGAGCCAGGCAGAAAATGTTAGTACCAAATCATTGTATGGCGTTACTCATCTTACTATTATACTGTCTGTTTCTATCTCTATCTGACAGGTCAGTAATCCATCTGTCGCTGGTATTCGAAATTAAATTATTTCAATTGATTATGTTTCCTTTTATTTGGATTCTGATCGCAAACAATGAATAATTTAGTTACGCGTGGAAAAGTAGATATTTTTAACATTGATCGCCACTATTTTACGTCAACAAGAAACTTTATTTATCATTAAAAAATAAATAAACAGTATTGCTTGCAGGTGAAATTATGTGTCTTTGTTGTGTAAAGTGGTACTCATTGGTACTTGGATAATTGATGTAACCTCTGATGTTATGCGTTTTTCCTTATATTTTCCGGCCAAAGCTTTAATTTTAGCATATTCCTTGGTATTTTTTCAACGTGTGAGTTCATCTTCCAAACTCTATATTTGGAGTAGACTTCTGTTTAAATGCTTAAAACCCTGAAATTTTTAACAACTACACACAGAGTAAAACTTTATTTAATAACAATAATCATATTTATATATGCATGAATGTATGTATTTAAAATTTTCCAATGTTGCTGTAGCTTTAAGAGCAAAACAAAAAAAAAGCCTTTATTAAATAGTTCTGCTTCACCGGGTCCATTGGTACTTATATAATGGTAACCATGGAAATCGTGCCCTGTCTTTTTCTCCTCTAGGTTAGGGCTCGGTTCCGGATAACGCTAATAAGCTACTATTTTTCAATGATTTTGTTTAATCTTTGCTCTGCATGTACTTGATCAAATCAATGACGCGGTTTGAGTAGCCGAACTCGTTGTCATACCAAGAAATAAGTTTGACAAACTTGTCGTTAAGCGATATTCCAGCCTTAGCATCAAAGACTGAAGAGTGAGTATCGCTAAGGAAATCAGTTGAGACAACTTCCTCGTCAGTATAGCCAAGAATGCCCTTCAGAGGACCGTTGGCAGCCTCCTGTACCTTGGCTTTAATTTCATCATAGCTGGCGCCCTTGCCCAAGCGAACAGTCAAATCGACAACGGACACATTGGGTGTGGGAACACGGAAAGCCATACCAGTCAATTTGCCGTTAAGAGCAGGAATGACTTTTCCAACAGCTTTAGCAGCTCCAGTGGATGCTGGGATAATATTCTGGGCAGCGCCACGGCCATCACGCCACAATTTTCCGGATGGACCATCGACAGTCTTCTGAGTAGCTGTAGTGGCATGTACAGTGGTCATTAGACCCTCAACGATCTCAAAATTGTCGTTGATAACCTTGGCTAGGGGAGCCAAACAATTGGTAGTGCAGGAAGCATTCGACACAACCTTCATGTCTGGTTTATAGGCATCCAAATTGACGCCGCACACAAACATGGGTGCATCTGCGGATGGTGCCGAAATTACAACCTTCTTGGCACCGCCCTTCAAGTGAGTAGATGCCTTCTCAATTGTAGTGAATACACCAGTGGATTCTACCACGTATTCTGCACCAGCGCTGGCCCAGTTGATATTAGCTGGGTCGCGTTCGCTGAAAACAGTAATTTTCTGGCCGTTCACAACCAGGAAACCGCCCTCAGCGACGACAGTACCCTTGAAACGTCCATGAGTTGAGTCAAACTTGAAGAGATACACCATGTAGTTGACATCGATGAATGGATCATTGACGGCAACAACGGAGGCTCCCTTGTCGATAGCGGCGCGAAGTACCAGGCGGCCGATGCGTCCAAATCCGTTAATACCGATTTTCGACATATTTTAGCTTGTTATTATGTTGTTTAAGCACAATTTCTAGAAAAAAAAATTTGTACACATATGTATGTTATTAGTAGATTGAAAATGTGTAATATATAGCCGTTTAAAAGGGAAAGTTCACTACCGTTCAGTTCGCTTGCAAGGAATCGACTGTGCCGTATCAAAAGCGTGGAACACTTTCGTTGAGTTAAAATATTCCGAGAAAATTTTCAAAGTCAAATGAAGGACGTTTACGTCAATCGTAACCACCACAGCGAGCGAGCTTTTTTTCGCATGAAATTGTTGTTCTGTGCCATGATGAAAACAGGTAAGGTGGAATTGCAAAGCGTATGTCATCCCTTTCTCTCTGCGCATGTGACGCCGGTTTTTTGTTTGTTTGGTCGAATCATTTAATTAAAAACATCTACATTCTTTCTTATCATTGTTTCAACTTCTTATAGATATCCCTAACCAATCTGCTTATATGTATGTACATATGTACACAAATATTAACAAAAACATTTAGAGATAAATACAAAAAAAACATAAATATGTCTGCGCATATGTATGTACAGATGCGACTACACAAAATTGTCGACAAACAAGGTACATACCAATAAATATACAATTCATTTCACAATAAAAAAATATACATGTTAAGAATAAAGTCTTTTTTCAGCCAGGTACTTAGTTTTTTAAACATAATTTAAGAAAAATATTTATGGAAATATACTATGTGACGTCATAAGATTCATACGAGAGGTATGCCTATACCTTGTGTTCCGAGTACCATGGTACAGGCTACCCAACAAACATAATGATTAGGTATTTTTTGTTTGTTTAACTGCAAGTACTCGACGATACTCGATAACACTACCCGAACCGAATTTGTCTGATGATATATCTTTTATTCTACGGCAGAACTCTTTTTTAAAGAATATTTAAGCACTGGTATTTTTTGTTTGGTGTTTTTAAAGGTAGATAGATGTCTGTTTGTCACATTACCATGTATGGTAACAGCTGAGCTGAAATTGGTTATAATTTTCGCCATCGATGAGAGAATAGGCCAATACTCAGATTAGCAAAATTTTTTGTTGATCAAAACAGGGATGATATTTGTATCAGAAAAAAGTGTAGGAGGGCACTACTTAGTTCAAATAAAATAAATACTTGATAAGCAGCAGATAGTTATTGATGGTAATTGGCTACGCCCTTGAAAAAAGCCATGCACATATATTTTCCATACAATCATACTGATCTGGTTAAGTACTAGTCAGAAAAGAAACAGAAAAAGCAAATTTCAAAGGAATATTTTTTATCGATTAAGACTTTTTCACATCGGAGCACTAGACTTTAGTTGACAGCGAACCGCGAAAATGTTTATTGTATAATGATTTCTACATTTGTACGTACATATACATTTATGTGTCTATAACATACATACATATGTACATAGCTTAAATTGCTTTTTTGAGCTTTCCGAGGACAAAGCTCCAAACGATGCACAAGTACACATAGGTATGTACATACAGATGTAATTAAATAGTATACAAACATATGTATATAAGTTCATCTTTGCATTATGTTCATTTACTTTCACTTTTACGGAAAGACATTATGTGTACATATATACGTATTCCTATGTCTTATCAAAAAACACTTAAGTGTGTATATATGTACATATTTATAAATAATGTTAATACATACATATACATACACATGTATATATGTACCTACACCCACATATTTATGTAAAGTAAATTTAAATACAGAATTGTACAGATTTTCATACATATATGTACATATGTATGTAAAGTTATGCACAAACATATATGCTTATGTACATATGTATGTACATTTGAGCATTTCAGTGCAATTTAATCAAACTCAAATTTGACAAAGATGCTTACATATGTACGTACAAACATACAGTTAATCAAAAAATTTTAGTTACACTTCGGATAATGATCCAGACAGCTAATACGTATGCATGTACATACATACATACATATGTATTTAGGCTGCTATTTAGGTTTTCTTCCTAATCATGAAAAAGCTAACTTTGGTGGTTGAAAATGGATTTTTTTTCTTATCAAGCAAACCCCTACTTTAAAAACAGTTGTAGTATTGTCGCAGAACTTTTGGCTCTCAAAAGAAGTGCTCCTAAAATAAGTCCTTATCAGACTTTATCGTAGTTAAAAATCGTCGATCATTTAATGTTTTTTAGATCGTTGGGAACAAACAGATCCTATTATGTATATGTTAGATGAGATTTGATGTTTTGAGTTCTCAACATCTCTGTTGGGTGGGGCGATGTGTGAGAGCTCGAATTGTGGTAATGAAGAAAAATCCGTATGGGAAGTTTGGTTTTTCTCGATTTAGCTGACACAACCGGCCAAAATATGTTTATTTAGAATAAGAATTGATCTTCGCACTTTTCTCTATTCAAAATTTTATGATGTGACCAGTTGCTGTTGACCAGTTTCCGACCAAACAGCAGACTGTTTGATTTGAAATGGTTTGGCATTTGGTCGCTTTAAAGCATCCACTTTTTTTAATCGGGCTAATGATTATATATCCAGAAATTGTCATCTGTTAAAATGTTATAAATAGATTTTGAGCCACCACAATCATATATTTGTATAATGTCCTTGCAGCCATCGACACGAGCGAACACACATATTTTCTGTGTTTATATTTGTTTAATAAATGAAATTATAGAAGTTTTGTGAAATATGGCCAAAAACAATGGCAGAAAATCGTGTTTCGAAGAGAAAATTTAATAGGTTATATGTATATCCGTGATTTTCCGATAGTGTTTCTTTTTCACCATTCCAAAATAGAGTTTAATCCATCGCTGCTTTTCGATAAGTAACTTTAATCGACGCCTTGAAGAAGTCGAACACAACTTTGCAATTTCATAAATATTCTTTTACAACGAAAATACAAATTCTGAGTGTGTGGGAGAATATATTTATTTACCCTTTCAATATCATATGCATGTAGTTTTCTGTAAGAATGCGGAATGAGGAGAGCTGTATTTGAGACGCCATGTCAATTGTAAATGGACGAGCATGTCATGTCTGTATATATGACCCATAGGAACAGTGATCGTAAAAATAATTCGAATCAACACGAAAATATCAATATAAAAGAAGGGTTTGATCACACGGAAAGTGATGCGACGCATCCAATTTTACGCGTTGATTACAGCCTACAAGGTCAGCTGGTTCAGTGCTTGACGTGTTGTGAAAAATTTGAGTACAATACCTTTAGTGACATTTGTTCACATTACACGTATTACCATAGTCAGAATCAAGGCGGTTGTGCCAAGTGTTTATACTGCTTACGCGACGTCCATTATTATTTACGGGCGGGGAAGGTGCATCCAGAAGCCTTTCACTATTGTTCGCCCCGGAAGCAAAATTAAATTGCACTAAGTCGCTAGTATGGCTAATACAATCAGTGAGCATGTGGAAAGCTTGATAAACTCTGATCAAAATTTTGAAGAATCAGAAGAGTCGGAATATTCAGATCAAGATGAAGTTCAAAGCACAACTACAACATTGGGTCATAATGGTGCTATGGACCATCAATCTTTGGCAATAAAATTAAAAAAACCCACGGGAAGTTTGGCAGATAATTCAGAAGAGCATATTAAAGAAACTCAAATAAAAGGTGTCAGCAATATTAGTTCTGGACATCCGAATTACGGATTTGGAAAGCGGTGGTCCAAATCGGAAGATTTGTTGCTTAAAACGTTAGTTGATAAATATGGCGAGCGTTGGGAGGTTATTGGGCCACACTTCAAAGACCGACTTGATCATCAGGTGCAGCAACGTTGGGTCAAGGTCTTAAATCCAGAACTTATTAAAGGGCCATGGACACGTGACGAGGACGAAAAGGTTATTGAGCTCGTGCGAAGTTTTGGTCCCAAGAAATGGACTTTGATTGCTCGATATCTAAATGGACGAATTGGCAAGCAATGCCGAGAAAGATGGCACAATCACCTTAATCCGAATATAAAGAAAACGGCATGGACTGAAGAGGAAGACACGATTATTTATCAAGCTCACATTCAACTCGGAAACCAATGGGCCAAAATTGCAAAACTTCTGCCTGGACGCACGGACAATGCAATCAAAAATCACTGGAACTCGACAATGCGACGTAAATATGATGCCGAGCGTAGATCGGTTAATGCTCCTGGAAGTGATTTGAAAAGCTCTCGAACACATCTAATAACATTAATCAAAGCTGGTGGCATAAGTAAAGTGCAATCTCAATTGCTACATAACAGACTTTCAGCACCAAAAATAGAGAATAAATCTCAATCTATGGATAATGAAATCATGTGTAACAGAAGTACAACAGCTGAGCTCAGCGAGGTGGTGGATTCTGCTGGAACTGATCCGCTTATTCCCTACTCAGCTAGTGGTATGCATCATTCACTTGGTAAATGTCTAACAATTCAACTTCAGCGGCAAACACCGAATATCTTGAAACGGTCTCGTAAAAACATTCCCGAATCGAATATACCAGCTTATCCATCTATTGATTTTTCCTATGATGAAGCCAAGCCTAGACAGCCGGATTCCCCCGTTATAACTCCCATTAAGGCATTACCATTCTCCCCAAGTCGATTTCTTAAATCTCCTTGTCTAACAACATTTGAAGACATGAATTTGCGCGCAAGCACGCCTGTTATGAAGATATATAACGGGTTGGGAATAGAGGTCAAGAAAGAACTGGAAACTGGATCTATTGAAACGCCACAGAAGAGTGAGTATAGCGTACAAGTATATACAGTGTAGATCAATGAAATAGCTTAACCGTCTTCTTTTATTCCTTTCGAAATTCTAGGTAAAATAGGACCACGAACACCAACTCCGTTTAAGAATGCTCTTGCTGAAATTGGGAAGAAACGTGATGGTCGACGATACGAGCCGCCTAGCCCGTCTAGCCTTGCCGAAGATCTGGCAGAAATAATTCATGAAGAACAGCTAAACGATTCTGAAACATTAGAATCTGAGCAAACTAACAAAAGAGTTGGTTGTGGCAATATGAGAAAGAATTTACGAAATAATTCGCATAGTATTGAAAACGAAAATGCAAGTTCAGCACTGTCACCGCCTCCAAAACGTGCAAGGAAATCTTTACTTTCCAAGTGGACAGCCAACCATCTGCCAAATGGTGGATTTACGAAAAAGATCCAACCGTTCGAAACTGAGACGCCTAGCAAGTTTCTTACATCTCCAAGTGGCATTATGCAGGATACACTTTGCAGTGAGCAAGATCTTCCCTTCGATGAAGACAGGAAGGAGAACAGACCGTACTTCAGTCGATGTAAATATAAGACCTCAGGTCTGCTTCCCTATGATAATGTAATCGACCCAAAATGGGCTCGAGTAGCGTGCGGCAAAACCAAAGATCAACTATTCATGGAGGAGCAAGCGTACGCATGTCTTAAACATCTTTCTTGTGTCCCACGCTCACTTAACTTTGAAAAACAAAAGTGACTCACATTCTGCTAAGCTAAAGTTTTTTTCTTCATATTAATAGAACACTATAACTGCATTTTATATCGAGAAAAAGGTTGCGTTGAAATAGTAATTAAGAGCAATTGTAAATTCTTTCCATTGAAATCTAAGTAATTTTTACATTTTCCTTTTTATACCCGGTACTAGTTAAATAGTAAAATCTATCGAAGAGTAAAATAGGGTAAATTGTAAATATAACGGGTAAACGCTTCCAACCTCATAAAATATATATATGTATATTCTTGATCAGCATCAATAGCCGAGTCGATAGAGCCATGTCTGTCTGTCTGTCCGTATGAGCGCCTAGTAATCAGAGACCATAAGAGATAGGGCAACCAAGTTTTGCATTCATACTTCTGTATGCTCACACTGTTACAAGTAATTCCAAAAATGAGCCCCGCCCCCACACTGGTCGGAAATTTCCCACCTCCACAATTTTGAAGATGAAAGAAAACGCCATTGTGATTATTGAATTGGATCCGATTGTATTATTATTAAAGCCAGAATGAAGAAATTAATTTTCAGTGGCTAAACTCAAAGCTTTTTTTTATTTTTTGCACATTCTCACATCCACACTGCTTCGTGTGGTGTGTCGCTCTAGGGGAGGGGGGCAAGCTATAACTGCGTGTTGGCCTGAGAAGTGATGATATGATGTAGATGACAGATGTAGAAAATTTAAAATTTAGAATTTGAAAAAACCGCTAAGGTACAGGTGTACTACTGAGTACCGGGTATAAAAGATGCAACGCGTAAAAAGCGTCTTACACGTCCCTTCTCTTTTTTTTCTAAAGTTAAAATCGATCTGTTAAAACAAATTTTTTTAATAAATTTAATAAACTAAAATTTGCAGAAATAATAAATACTCTTTAAAAAAAGCAGACTGTACAATACCAAGACGCTTCATGAGCGACCAAAAATGTGTTCTATTGCGTGCAATTCAATTTTTTCAATTTTTCTTTCAGAAGGGTGTGTAGAATCAGAAGTTCGGCTGCAAAAACAAATTCAGTCTTCGACGACGAGCCGAGACAAGAATGAAACGAGGCGAAACGTTGGGCGACGCGTCACAAGTTTTATATCCGGTACCATGAAGCAATTATTTAAGGAGGTCCCCCGTGGTCGGCTGCGTTCGTAGTGTTATTTCCTTAGAATGCAGTGCTTGTTTGCTTGTCGACGCGAAAGGTGGGGCGCGTACAAATTTTGTTCTCATATATGAACCCTTCCCGCACGATATGATATTTTATTTTTTTGCAGCAAGAAATTTGCAATTTATTTTAGAATTAAGAGTATGAAAATAAATATATATTAACAAAACAATAGTAACGACTACTCTCAAGTAGTAAATAATTAAAGATGAAAATAAAAAAGAAAACTTCAACGTTTTTTTCTTGCAATGGGCAATTTTAAAGCCCATGCCATCAAAGGGTTAATCAGCATACTCCATTGTCGATTTACTCACACTTATAGCGCAGAGCCCTTTCACTCGCCCTTATTTACAGCATTGTTAGGGAATAAATTTTGTCGACGGGCCCTCCTTATATAGCCGAAGAAACATGAAGCTCTGCTGCTTTTTTTAAAGTGCGTGTACCGGCAGCGCAGCAGCAGTGCCTTGCCCTAAGCCCAATAGACAGTGCCCATGAAGCAACTATAAAGGAGGACCCGTCGGCTTTTTAGAGGGAAACGTAACAATGCTGTCAATAAGTGCGAGTGAAAGGGCTCTCGCTGTAAGTGTGAGTAAAACGACAATAGAGTGTGCGCCTGAAGCACTGAGCTCAGGGGGAAATGACCCTAGGAACGCTGCCGACGACGAGAACTCCTTTATAGTTGCTTCATTGATAGGGCCTAGCTCTCATGGTCTTTGAGTACTGGCTACTTAAGGATAAGCTTATCTTTCTTGAGTACACAATAAATAGATTGACTAAGGTATCCAACTTGAGCTCCACTGTGTTTAATATTTTAGTGCCGGGTCAACGGTTCTTCTACACCTGGGAAAAATGATTGGTGGCGTGCGTCGAGGCCAAAAGATGATTGTCATAAGCGACCAACAACACGAATCAGACCAAAGTCATCCATGAAGGGCGAGAGCGATTCGAAGCTGTAGGAAGATTCCACACAGTTACCCCGAGTTTCAGGAGCTGGCGACACAGGGCACTCATCCTTAGATCCTACCTATAACGATGCACCTCTTGGAACCAAATTAAAATATTGAACAACGCTAGCTAGACTTCAGTGAACACGTATGTAGGTTTGGCATCCTACTGTATTTTCAGAGGCTACGTGAATCGGGCTTGATTCTCTCTTATACTCTCTCATAAAGGCAGAATACCGATCCTTGATTGAAGGATTACGATCCAGTTTACATTAAATTCATTCTAGCTTCCGAATCAGGAGAATTGAGCGTTGCCAAGAGCGCAGAAATTTACAAAAAATATGCTAGCGCCAATGAAAAGACGTACCCGCTGAGGATTGATGCATGGTCGGTCGGCAAGCTGAATATTATATGGAGTGTTCGGCTACATCAACTGCACGAATTGGCTGAAAACTGGGCGTCAAATAAGATGGAGGGACGGACAGAATAACGGACGGAAAGTCGAGCGGACAGACAAGTCGAAGGCTATCAAGAATAAGATCAAGTACTGAGTTTGCAATAACCGAAATATAATTTGAAAATGAAGATTACAATATAAATGGACTGTTGAGACTACTAATATCCTGGTGACATGTGGACATAAGGAAACGTTGAGGGATTTTCAGGATACTTTCCTCTGCTGGAAATCATGGAAGTGTGGAACACCACCTCAAGGCCTCGCTCATTAATCTTTCCAAGACGATCGACAACCTTTTTTTATTTCTAGTTCCGTTTAGCTCCCGTTAAATACAACAATAAGATGCACCTAATTATCGCTCCACCGAATCAGGGATGATATGCCTATACAAACGATAAGAAATCAACCCTATTTTTTGTTCGACAGATAACTTCGCCAGTCAGCTGTTCGCAGTTTAGTACTCAGATTAGCAGGAAATATACAAAACCAAGAGATTAAATAATACGCCCAAAACGTGAAATATAGAGTTTTCTATATTCTTTCGACAGAAGCAACGAGAAAAGCAAGCGCAAGAGTGCTATAAAAGATCATTAAATGAAGACAATTTGAATCATTATCATGCGGTCGAACGAAAGCTGATTATATGGAGTTTACAATTTATTATTCTTATACTCGGTACTCATTTTATCAGTTTATAAACAGATGAAACACATGTTTATAGCATTTCCGTCCCGCCGAAACTGACTTATCCAATAATACTGTGCTTTTTCCATACATTGTTGTCCCCCAAGATTTCACACTCCTCCTGATTTTATAGAAAATTTGAAATTTTAACGGGTTTCATTTTATAAACAAACACAAAACAGTGAACCTGAAGAGCATGCCCTGTAGCAAACAAATTTAGCTCATCTGAGTACAGGGCTTTAGAGTCCCGCGATAATTTATAACGTTTGTTAAATAGGAGCCGATACACGGTCAAACGAACCCCCCTAATGTTTCCGAATGAGCACGGAGGGGGCGTGTCTGTAGTTCATATTGGCTTTGAGATCCATGCGCTCATCGAGAAGGACGGACAGACACCGACTCCGACTTTTGACGCTGATTAAGAATACATATTGTATACCTTATCCTAAAATTATCTTTCTATGCGTTACGCACATCACTTTGAAAAAAATCTAAATTATCCCAAAAATGTATCGTCGGAATGAAACAAAAAAAAAAACGAGAAGGGACGTGTGAGACGCTTCTTACTCGTCAAAACTGTATACCCGGCACTCAGTACTACATCTGCACCTTAGCGGTGTTTTGTCAAATTTTACATTTTTTCTACATCTGACATTTACATCTACAACACTTCTCACACCAACACAATCCCTAGACCCACACACTGCAGACTCGCGGCAGAGGCAGGGGCCGAAGCAGAGTGTGAATGAGAGAATGTGAAAAAAAACAACAAAAGCTGCGGGACAGGGTGGGTTTAGCCACTGCAAATTAATATCTTCATTCTGACTATAATAATGATGCAATGGGATCCCAATTTGGTGATCTGATAGATTTGGCCATTCCCTACGGAATTAGTTTAGTTTTCTTTTATCTTGAAAATTGTAGGTTTGGGAGGTTTTCGCTCTTTTGCGTTTGTGGAAGGGGGCGGGGCTCACTTTTGAAATAAACTGGTTTCAGTGTGAGCATACAGCAGTCTGGATGCAAATTTTGGTGGCTCTAGCTCTTATAGTCTCTGAGAACTAGCCGACAAACAAGACGGACAGACGGGCAGACAGACATGGCTCAATCGACTCGGCTATTGATGCTGATCAAGAATATATATACTTTATGGGGTCGGAAACGTTTCCTTCTGTGCGGTACATACAACCGTTATTCCCCACAAATACATTATACCCTATTTACTCTTCGAGTACCGGGTATAATAATAATGGAATAATGGTTCTATGGAAATTAATAAACACATTATTTATTATTGTCGATCATTTGTCAATAATGCACATTGAGTGCACAGAATGCATTTTTGGCGAGTCCCAAGTCTTTTCTAAAACTATTGTTGTGTAGGTTCAACACACATGAAGTAAATAGCCAATTCCTGAAAGTAGTTTTACTCATTTCTGGAGATAGGCCTTATGGTGAAACCCGGCTTCCTATACATAATTGGTTTGACCAATGCCAAATTGTTGTGATACAAATGTTCCTCCAGCAGTTCTATGAATACCACCACCAGTTATGGCTGTCAGTTTTCAATTTGTCGATACTATCGAACTATCATATGAATACATCGTTGTTTTTTTCGGACAGCTCTGACTTGTTTCTAGGTGTTGGCTGCCAATTGTAGAGTGCAAATGAAAAGTTACGGATTGGTGTCTTCGTTGACTAAAATTTTCACTTGTTAATACTTGTCTAATTAAAGCTATCTGTTGAGGATAGTTAACACATTTTGTTAAGTGTAAACCCAGATTTTAAGTGTAAGTAAGTTTAAATCTATAAAATTTGTAAATGCGAATGTCCAAGAGTTGCGGAAAACTGATTTCAATGCCTGATCTGTTTCTATTTTGTGTATGTGCTTCAATAAAATTTTTCCTCGTATATGCATATGCATGCAACCATCTCTTTACGCATGCACACATGCCATATTTTTGAATAAGGTAATTGTAGCTAGCATTGTAGGTTTAGCTAAACTTGCAATAATTTATACAACGTAATTTGAATTCATTTTACTATCCTGAAAAAATATATTCTACTATTTAAAATTGATTATTTTTTCTTCTCTATTTCTTTCTTGCTCTTTGTCATATTTGCTGTGCGCTCTTGGCGTTGGTGTGAATGGGACAAATAATCATCTCGACTGTTTTTGTCTCACCTCCTGTGGTCACGTCGACCTGCTTTTGCTGACGCGCTCCCGATTGCGCACCGCTTCGTGTCACTGGTCGTGCTGCTTACTCTAACCTGCGTTATACGTATCGGCGGTGGTGGTGCAAAATTGCAATTTTGGTGTACAAAAAAGCAAAGTGAACAGCCAAAAGAAGCAGGCTACCTAAAAAATAGGCAACAGAAAGGAAAATTTTCATTATCTTTCTGCAAACAAGAACATTTTTAAAAGATAAATCCATTTTGAGACAAAAATCCGTTACGCTAAACCTTAACAAAAAAAAAACCGGACATTTTAGTGATTTTAAAAGTGTGGAACAAGTGTGTGTCGCTTAAGCTGCCATCAATAAAAATATATTTCGAACAAATAGAAAAACAACCGAAAACCCATTGTGCAGCAGACACACAAAAAAGTGTACGAAACCAATAATAATAAACTGAAATCAGTTTTGTCGCCAGTCTATGGAATCGCAATAACAAAAAAAAATCATTCAAGATAATAGAGATATGATAAAAAAATATATTTCTTAGCAGCGATCTTTTTACACTATACGCACCACAGTTCGATATAAATGTGGTAATACTTTAAGTTTTCAGAGTTTCGATAAACAAACGACATCGTTTTACGAAAAGGATTTAAAGAACAAAATGTGTGTATAGTGCATGAAAAAAAGAGCCGCACGACACCAATAAGGATTGTCTATTGACACTTAATCCATGGTCAGCTACTAGGACGTGAAAAAAAGCAAATTCAAAAAGATTGTCACCGCCGCAAGGATCTGCCAATTCGTAGGACGGTACTAACTCGCTTCAAAAGAATCACGTATGTATATTTATGTTGAAATCATCTCAGCTGAGACTTACTGAAATCCGTAATACTTTTTTTAACTAGAACTTCCGCCACCGCCACCCCAGCATATTTAAAGAGCCTTCGCCGAGTACATACATCGGGAAACACGTGCATAAAAGATTCAAAAACAACAGAAAAAATAATCAGCTTAGCGATAAAAGATGAATGAACTGGACAGTCTTAGGCAAGAAGCCGAATCCCTTAAAAATGCCATACGGGATGCTCGCAAGGCCGCCTGTGACACATCCTTGTTGCAGGCAGCTGCCTCTCTGGAACCTATCGGACGCATACAAATGCGCACCCGACGCACGTTGCGTGGCCATTTGGCGAAAATTTACGCGATGCATTGGGGCAACGACTCCAGAAACCTTGTATCAGCTTCACAGGATGGAAAGCTAATTGTTTGGGACTCGCACACCACGAATAAAGTGCACGCCATTCCACTGCGATCTTCGTGGGTTATGACCTGCGCGTACGCTCCATCAGGCAGCTATGTTGCTTGCGGTGGCCTCGACAACATGTGTTCAATTTACAACTTAAAGACGCGCGAGGGTAATGTCCGTGTGTCCCGAGAGCTTCCGGGTCATGGTGGCTATCTATCATGCTGCCGCTTCCTGGACGACAATCAAATCGTTACCAGCTCAGGTGATATGTCATGTGGCCTTTGGGATATCGAGACTGGCCTGCAAGTTACTTCATTCCTGGGCCACACAGGTGATGTTATGGCTCTTTCACTAGCTCCGCAATGTAAAACCTTCGTTTCTGGCGCATGCGACGCATCTGCTAAGCTGTGGGATATTCGGGAGGGTGTTTGTAAACAAACATTTCCAGGCCACGAATCTGATATCAACGCAGTAACCTTTTTCCCGAATGGACAAGCGTTTGCAACCGGATCGGATGATGCAACCTGTCGCTTATTTGACATACGCGCCGATCAGGAGCTGGCTATGTACTCTCATGACAACATTATTTGTGGCATTACCTCTGTGGCGTTTTCGAAGAGCGGCCGCCTGTTATTGGCGGGCTATGACGACTTCAACTGCAATGTGTGGGACACGATGAAAGCTGAACGGTCTGGTATTCTTGCCGGCCACGATAACCGTGTATCATGTTTGGGAGTCACTGAAAATGGCATGGCTGTGGCAACTGGATCGTGGGATTCCTTCTTGCGTGTATGGAACTAAGCGAGATTAAAAATTCATTATTGGGTGGGGTGGGGTCAACGGTTGCGCAGTCAGCGGTTAGTGGTACACCATCTGCATTGTGATCTGATGTACATGCTTTGGTGTAACCTCCCTGTGCTTAATTTATAATGAGTGTCTGCAGGTTTTGAAAAAGTGGGCGCAGCGACGTTGACTAGAATGTAGACCACAACAACAAAGAACTTTATATACAACATTATTTATATTGCTATATACTTATTAACTTAAATTATACAACAAACCAAAACGCAACATACAAATAGACATACACACGCATACAAGAATATTATTAGTGTAAATTCAAAACAGAATATAATGAAGGCCCGGCCCCGCTGATAGTCAATCAGAAAGTTGTTTTGTCAGAATTCGGGTTACAGTTACGGTTTAAAACGTACATACGTACAGAAAAATTACTTCATGTCTTATTTATTGAGTGGACGAGTGCACGACCAGGAGTACAACACCATGACGCATTAGTCGTTTGCACATTGAAACAACAGCAGTATCATTGAAGGAATGTATGACTTCAAACAAGAAATGCAATTTTTCGCGTATAAACATAACTTCAGAAAGTAAATCCTGATGAAGTGAAGTCAAATAAAGTTAAAGCATTTACAAAATAAAAAAATCACAGCAAAAACTAAAAGTATATTAAAATTATTGCGTAAAAAACTTTAAAAATCAAGTAATGAAAAAAGTAAACAACACTTTATAACAAACATTTTCTTATTATGATTAAGTCCTTAATTTATATACAAAAACAAAAAATAATGATTTAAATAACATACTTATGTATTAGTGAACAACTATTTACATATAATACGATGGCCATATAAGCTACAACAATAAATTGAAAAACCACTTTAAATCCTACAATACATAAACGATTCATAAATGTTTAACAAAATCTTAACATACATACATACATACATACATATGCATACATAGAATAGCGGAAGTAATGGGTGGAAAAGTAAAATACAAAACATAAATTTTGCAATAACAGCGCTTGAAAGTAATAGATACATACTAATAATAATAGAAACAACAATTTGGTTCCATTGTTTTCCCCCATATGTTGTTACTAGGTTTGTCAGTGTGCTTGAATTTCTTTTCTTTGTTATCTGCAAGAAAAGGCTTTCTTCATACAAATATTTATCATTTACTGTTTTTTTAATTTGTTTGTTGTCTTATTTTCCAGCAGTATAACCCATATCCATGCGTCATGCGTCACGGTTACACTTTTTCCTTAACATTTTCGAATTTTTTGAAGCTCTTATCGTATATTGCAGATACAGAGTTAAACATACTGTTATTTCACTTATTCGGTATGAATGGATCTAAAAAAAATAAAAGAAAGTATGTAGGCTTGGGTCCGATAGATAAAAAGAGATGCAATTAACTAAACTGAAACCGCTTTGCAAGCAGTAAAAAGTTATCATAAATGAAGTTCATTTTAGCAAGAAATCACAAACATGCGTGTATTCAACTAAACTCAAAATCATCACAAAACATTGTTTTCAACCTTCATATACTTATGGCGTATTGGTGTGTTAGTTACAAAAATGGTATTCTAAAGTCTGCAGTGTGTTAGACCATTGCAATTTTTCGAACTGTACTTGTTTATAAGTACGTCGCAATGTTACACTCGATGCACTCCTATATGATTCGTGAATTTTTTTTGTATCGTAAGCTTACAACGTAATAATGTATGTACTTCTGCATATGTAGCTAAAAATAAAACAAAGCTATTCTACATTAAATGCTTTATTTTATTTCTATAATTTAAAAAGAGAAATTAGTCCGCTCAGATTCCTAAATATGTTAGTATCAGAACGTTTTCCGTGTTACTATAAAACTACAATTTATTCAGAATTTTATTATGTTTATATAAATACGACATAATTTCACACAAATGCACTTAAACATAGATATTTTAGTTAACGTTTTTTTTTTATTTTGACTATTATCTACATATATATACCGAAATCGAATAAAATTAATGAAAAAAGTGTATCTTTGTAATTAGCCATTTACATTACAAAGTAAACCAATTAAAATGTGTCAACAAACAAATTGGCATTTAAATAAAAACAAAAGGGTATGTGTTCATCTAAAAATAACTGACATATGCATACATACATAAAAGCAAAACATATTCAGAAATAAAACTAAATACAATTTATTTATAATTTGTGTCATAGCCGTCAACTCAGCGGTATACTTAGAATATACATACATGCATACATACAATAATAAAGAAAATTGTGTTAAGCAAACGCCAATCAAATTAATGTATGTATGTGAATATATATTCACATTCATTTTAGTAAAAAAAAAAAAAAATACATAAATATGTATGTACATGAAGGATCAATTTATTGAATAAGTTCTTCGTGAAGATTAATTAAAAAAATGTCGGGTTAAGTGTACACATATGTATGGCATGGTAGCAAATATGCGTACATGTATGTACATATGTATGTACATATGAAATAAATCACAAAGGGTTAAAATTCATTAGAGCGTGGTAATTTCATCGCGAAATTCACTTGCCATTTAATTTTAATAAATCATTTCAATGGATCAGACAAAAACACTGGAATAAAAAGTGATGAATAATGCGTATAGATCTAAATCATATTTGACGAGCATTCAATTCAGGACATGTACACATGTTTACTAGTGTGTTACACTGCCCCAAGCAGCGACACATCGATACCAGCGTCATTCAGATGGATTTGCTGGACTTACGCGATGACCTCCTGCCATACGAAGAACTGATAATGCCCATAGAGTGATGTCCTGGGAAAGTAGGTGATAGTCAACGAGCAGTAATCAGTTTATAAGTGTTGAATTTCACCAGAAAGTGAGGCACGGATAAGTGACGAGTTTCAATGAAAAGTAAGGCGTTTATAAGGTAGGGTTTTTGAGCAAAAGGAATGGGTAGACATGGGTAAATTGGGTATAGAAATATTTTAATTACATTTATTTATACAAATTTGAGACTTCTATTTAGATTTGTTCTACGTGCTCTTTTTTACACAGAATCTCTTAGTTTACGTGCTCTTCCACTGAATCGACTTTGAAATTATGTTGATAAATTTATGTAAATATTATCAAACCCTCGATGGCTTCGCTCTCTGATATTTGTAATAGTTAATTGTATCTTTGTAACTATTTTCCGCGCCACCATGTAGGTAAAGTTAAGGCTCACTTTTTTTAACGTGGCGTGCCAAATTGCATACTAAATTAACCAAGTCGCTCGCTCAAAGGAAATGGCAGAGACTGGAGGCGTGTGAAATGATTTAGGCGGGTGATACTTGTTGCACACAAAAGCATCCGTTTGCCGGCACGCAGACTTACTGTTTTCATTGCATTCAAGTAACAATTCACATACAAGCTGTTTGATGTTAATGTTAATAACAGGCCGACCAAAATACATATATAATTGTATCGTATCGAGAAGCGCTTGGTTGAAGCAGTGCGTCTGTACTGCAGTTGCTGTCAATCTGGTTAAAATGAGTTTGCGGGCCAATTATAAAACGTAATGTTTATGGGCCTCGGGTGGGTGGATAGCAAAGCAATGCGTAAGTGGGCGTGAAATAAAGTTTTTCTATACGTAAAAGAGAAAAAAAATGGGTTCACAAAAAAACCCACGAATCTTGGGGTCGGCACTTAGGCCGATTTGATTTGATTTCGGCAGGCATATTACAGTTGCGAAAATCCTAAATATCATAATTCGACCCCCTTTGTTGTTCTTGTTTAAAGTTGGAGTAACGGCTAGTCAGCAGACGTACCAACAGAAGTTAAAACGCATCAGCTGTTAAATTGAATATACTCTCTGGAAGGACTAAGAGCATGCACTGTTGCTCTCGCTCTCTTTGGACTTCGATTGCATTCTTATTATCTGTTCTCTCGGTGTCACTGCTTTCGGGAGTTCACCGTTTGTTTCCGTCCCTTCGCTGAATCGTGTTCATTGGAAAATTGCCGCTGATGCTGATGCTCTGCTGCCTGCTCTGCCATATCTAATGCGCTCTCTCTACATCCGATTCTGATTCAACCGCTGTCAAAAATGTATAGCGATTTCAGTGCAAAGAGGTGCGAAATCGGTGAATCATTCATGTGTAGGTGTTGGAAATTATGGTAGACTAAACGATCTCATCTCAAAACGTATTGGTCTGTCTTGGTCATGTCTGGCTTGCCGGAAGATTGAGGCCGAAATACGCACTTTCAGGAGACAGACCCGAAATGGTTTTCTGGATGCTGATGATGACAACTTCTTGCATCCGATTCCGATTAGAAGTCCTGCATTTCGTCTTCTTGCATCGGAATCATTTGCAACTCCGAGTGGTCTTACCGCGCCATTGGAAGTAAAGCCACAAGCTGTGGCCCTGGTGTTTAACTCACTCTAAACAACTATGCATCCTTGGACATAAACTTAATGATTCCCTTGAATTATACTTCTACTCTGCTTATTCAGAAGCGGTTCTTATTAGATTTCCCTAAAATGTTGTATATCGTATTTTGTTGTATCTGTCTGCAATACTCTGATTGGTACTTGCACATTTACCTTTTAGGGTCTTATGCCATTATTTTCTGTGTGTTGTTTTCTAATATAATTGAATTATTTATGGAGTTAATCAAGGTTAAGTTTTCGTAAAAAATTAGAAATTAAAAAAAAACATGTAGCCACGAACGTAAGCGGGGACCTGGTCTTTGAGGTCTTTTTGGTCTAGGAAAATGCAAATGACACTACTTATGGCTGATCCCCTGACTAACTGCGTTTCGGGGAAAACTAAGTTTTTATAGTCTATTAACTGAAATTAATTACCTATCGATAGTTGACTTAACTATAGAAGCCTTTTTACATATAAAAAGAATTTATAAGAATAATAATTTTAACAAGATGTCGAGCAATGTGCGAGGAAAACTAATTTATTCGGTTGTATCGACAACTGTTTAGTACATAAACAACTATTTATTAATAGAGATAGGTTTGGACCCTGGTAAGAAAAAATCATTTAATTTTTCAGGGTTTAATAATGTATCCAAACTTATAGTAGCAGCGATTTCGGATTTTTGAGGAGGAACAGGACGTTAGAAAGAACTTCGACCACTTCTCTGACGTATCTTGAAAATAGGTATAAATTATAATTTTTCTATCAGAATGTTTACGGTATTTTTCGAGCATTGAATGGTATTTCGGTATACTTTTGAGGGTCAGAGGTAAATTTGATCGATACTTCCGCGGTCACACTGTTTCTGGTTTTCTCAACGCTGTAGAGACAAAATTGGAGAATTGTTTAACAACAACTACATACAAAATACACTAGTTCTGTGCATTGGAGTGCTTGGTTTAAATTGGTTATTGCTCACTTCTTACTTCCAGTTAAGATGGCGTTGAAAGTCTTGGTGGGCCAGAGTAAGTGCATACTAACGTTATAAAGTTATATACAAACATGTCGTAGGTCGTGTACATACATCCTTATTGATTTTTCCAACGAACAATTGTAAAATGATTGGTACTGGAGAATAATTAGATTAATAACAAAGCAAAAACCTATTATCACTGAATAATTATGTAAATATCACACATGGTGGAGTTTGTTCATCATATCGATTTGATTTATATATTTCACGATACGTGTAAATAAGTTGTCAGTTAGTGGTGTGAGTCATAGGTTTATGTTGTCATTAATGTGTACCTTTCTATATTATAGATTCGATTGAATCTATTGATCTCCTTATATATACATATTTTTCTTTTATTAAGTTTGCTTATATACATACATATGTACTGAGCCAGTTCATGAGTCATGAACAAAAAAAAATTATCTTTTAACCCTGGAATTTCATGCGAGTGTATGCATGTACATGGAAATGTACATATATGTACATGCATATATTATTGATTATAACTCTAAAGAAACCGCATATATTGTGTCCTGCTATATCCCACAAAACAACCTCTTTTAGGGGTCACACTTCCTAGCTCTTTCTGTCTCTCTCTTTCTCAAGCACAGCAGAAGAAGTAGAATTGAGCGAAAGACACTATCATAATAAGATGATTAACGCCCATTCATTAGAATTGCCATAAGGGCATTTCCGTTGTGATATCAGCCAGGATCGTAAATCACAATAATCTGTCTTTTGTTTTGTATAATTCAAACATACATACATATGTTAACATTGTCTGCGTCCTTTCTAGCAAATTCGTTCCTTGCAATTAGTGTATGTGCATACACACAGTGCCGCTCAACTGAATAGGTATAGCAATTTTAAAAGAAAAACCACTGTATCTTCTCAACCAACTTACAAATGTTAAATGGCATTATTTGTATTTTATAGATAGATTAGTTGTTAATGAAACAAGAAAGTTTACGATATAGCCGACGATCAATGCGAAGATCAAGGCGAAAATCTCAGCCGAAGCCATCAGCAACAAGAGCCGAAGGCCCTGGGAGCCAATCGCACAGACATTTTATAGTTGTTAGTCGATTTGGCGCCTGTATGTGTTATTTGCTTAGTGGTTGCACGCGAAAAGCATGATAATTATTCCAGCTAATAAGAAAACAATTGAGAGCTCTCAAAATACGATATGAACCGGCCTCTATCCTTTTGGAATCGGATTTTGTTGAACTTCTGCAAATGGTGTCTCATGTTAGAAATAGTTCAAAGTCTAATAAGAATTTGGACGTGAAAACGAAAAATGTGGTACGAAACCGATACCCCAAGCTATTTTATATAATTATAGAGATTCACATTTAAACTATTGTTAATTTTCTTAAACTAAATGTATTTCTTTATTTTGCATGAAACCCCTTAGAAATCATGAACGAGGTGGTCAAGTACAAGCCACCTCAACCGAAGAAGCATGGCGCTCCAGCGGCTGTCAAAAATGGAGCCGGTGGAATGGAGTGGCGTGTTTTGGTGGTGGATAAGCTGGGTATGCGAATGGTTTCCGCCTGCACCAAGATGCACGAGATCAGTGCCGAGGGGATCACTTGTAAGTTGACTTTGTTTACCTTACTTACGTACAAAACATAACCGATATCATCCGCAGTGGTAGAAGACATCAACAAGAAACGTGAGCCATTGCCCACCATGGATGCGATATATTTAATTACCCCATCAGATGATTCTGTTCGTGCATTGATACGGGATTTTGAGAATCCTGCGCGACCAATGTACCGGTTTGCGCATGTCTTTTTCACCGAGGGTAAGATTCTAGTCGCCGGTTATTAGTATTTTTGTGTATTTGAGATCAATTTTTTGTTGTTTATAATTTTGTATTTTAATTTTTATTATTTTCATGATTTCTAACCACATAACTGAATAGCCATTCCTCCCAGAGCATACGATATTCTGCAAGCCCACAAAGGTATTTGTCGGCGTTATGTCCGTACCTGCAAAGAAATCAATATTGCATTTCTAGCGTCTGAAGCCCAGGTATTGAATGCGTTGAGCGCTTCTCTAGTCAAATTAAATCTATGCCGCTCTACTAATATATGCATAACATAAAATCTATACTACGCTATTTTAACTCTTCATTTTGTGCGTGTTAAGCCACTCAAACGACTTCTACCATTGAACAATTATAGCCAAAATGTTGTATCCATCAAGTCGGCCGATTTTACAAAATCCATGTCTTAATCCCAAGAAGTACATATGACCACTTGGTGGTTTTGGGCTTTTGAGTTAACAAGTGAACATTTTAATCATTGATTTCTTGTTTCTTGTAGTTTTCATACCACTGAGTGGTTTTTTCAGAACCAAACAAATAGTTGAATCGTCTTATAGTCTAACAAATGGGA